GAAATTCATATATATATATATATATATATATATATATAAATTTGCATTATAGTTCACTAGTCTGTGCTTCTGAAGTTATATTTTTGGTACCTTTGCAGGTCGAGTTGCTGAGTTTGACACTCCTACAAGGCTATTAGAGGATAAGACGTCCATGTTTCTGAAATTGGTGACTGAGTATTCCTCACGTTCAAGTGGTATACCAGATTATTAGATCAAATGCGATGTGTGAATGCTCTCATAGTGTGGTGGTTGGAGCTCAAGACAGTTCAAAAGTTGAAACAGGAAGTGATGCCACCCTTGCATGCCACTGCTGCATTCGGGGCATGCATAGACACGAGACGAAAACAAACAAATAAGAGAGGTTTGTGCCTGCTCATCAATCAAGCACCCCCCTGGGAGAAATTTGTTTGATTCTTCCCCTGAAAATTGAGGAATTCATGCATGGTTAGCATGCTTTGTAACACAAAATAAGATGATCTGTCATTACGGGAAAGCAACAAAGTAGTTTGTAGAATGAGGCACTAGGCTTTTTTCTTGGTTAGAAAAGTGTAGAGTTACTTTAAACTAGTCATGTGTATTCCACAATTTTCTTTTAGTGAAAGTTTAGATTTAATCCATTGAAAGCTCAGATTCAACCCATAAAAAAGTTATACTAGTTCTCTTTTCTAAAATGTTAGTTAATTTTCTTGTTTTTCTTAATTTTCATTACTGAGTTATTAAATATGTTCGCCATGCTTGGAGTTTTTATACGGAAAATGATACATGTAAAAAAAAATTGAGGCTAGCCTCATTTGGGTCTTATTGATAAAAAATATAAGATTTCTTTAATATTATTAATTGATAAAGTTTATTTATACTCTTAATTTATTATAAGTTATTCACTTATTTTTCATGGTTGGGGGTACATTTATTGAGGTACTAATACTATAAGTCATGTTCATTTGTTCAAAAAGTTATTCTTTTATTTATGAGTAGTGTCATTAAATGTAATTTTTGTTAACATCATTTAATTCTATGGATATTTTTAGAATAAAATTTTAAATCATGATATTATTAATTAAAATTAACTAATCTAACTAGTTTTATTGGTATTGATTAATAAGACTTTTATTTCTTAAATCATGATATTAATTGAAATTAACTAATCTAACTAGTTTTATTGGTCTCGATTAATAAGGTTTTTGTTTCTTATAGGTGGTATCATTTTTTTCTCTCTTTATCAAATTATTTATTTCATTTATTAATAATGGAGTGAGACAAAAAATAATATTGTATAAATTGTAATGTGTATCAATTGTTCAATGTTTAATATAATGTTGTATAGATTGTAGTATGTGTATCATTTGTTCAATATTTAATGTGTCATTTCCTCTCAATTATTTCATTCACTAAAAAAATATACGCTTCATTTTAAATGCTTTAAAATTATTCTCCTTACTCATGTCTCACAAGATATGTTTCCTTACTCATGTCTCACAAGATATGTTTCCTTACTCATGTCTCACAAGATATGTTTATGTGTATCAAGTGAGAATAATTGCTGTTTTAAAATTGTGAGAATTTTAAATTTGTTATATGACTATATATAGATGGTTAAAAGTTATTTAGTAATCATATAATCACTTTAAAATGTCACATATATTTTTCTTTTAATCTTTCAAATACCATTTAATGATTTATATTTATAATTTCCATTTCTTAGAATACGAAAAGTTTACTGTAAAAAAAATGAATACGAAAAGTTTTCATATTTTCTTGGAATAAATATCCAACTAATTTTATTGATGACAAATCTCTCCTAAAAAATTTTGTTGACTACTTAAAAATATTAATGTCTCTTTGAATTGGATCAAATACAAACAGGCCCAATCTAACATGAATAACTTGGGCAAGATTCATCTTTAATTTCTTAGTGTGTGCTTCAAGTTATTCCAGGAGAACATTGGTTCCTTCAGCAAGAGGAAACCTCCAGATCTTACATAAAACTGAAAAATTAAAGCCTTGTGATAGCATAAACAATCAAATTTTGAATAAACTAGTGCACACTAAATAGCAGTAAGAGGTACCTCTTTCTCCCACTCTAGCCAGTGATGACTCTGTCATGGACTCAAAATCCAAACATGACTCGTTTGAATACATCAACTTGGATGGAGAAAACGTGGGTGCAACAATGCACTTGCATCATAGAAGCACAAAGAGTGAGCCAAAAGATTGTTCTTGCATCAACATTTATATAAACAACAACGTTCAGGGTGTCTCGAATTCGGTGTTGCATGATAGTGAGGTAAGGATGAGAGACCCAGGAATTAGTTTATACTTTGAAAACTTGAAGGTTGACAAGGGAACTTCCACATCCCACAAGAGATTTTGCTGGGGTAAGAGACTTGGATTTCTGCTCTGCATACTAAATTTGTTGGCTCTTTTGTTTCTCTTGGTGCTTCTGTTCTCAACTAGAGTCATCATTATTGTCGTCTAAGAAAACAAGGTGTGATAAATTCTTTAGCTTTGTGGTGTTGGATTTTTTTGAGGCATTATATGGCAATACTAATTATGTTTGACTTCAACTTAGGGTTGTGTTGGTGCTTTCTTGTATTTAATTTATGCTATCAAGGTCAACTTTAAGAATGTTAAAATCATGATAGAGGTTGAGGTTTATGATATGCGGAACATGTTTATGAAAAAAAAAATGAAAAAATGAAATGTCCAATCAAAGTGACTCTGAAAAATATGAAAGAGAAATGTTAATATTGATGGAAGGTAGGGTTTTTTTGGTAATGGAATAAGACCCTTTGGAAGGGACAGTTGATCCGGCGTGGGGAATGGGGATCTAAGTCTAGGGTCATGGATTCTATTAAATTATGGCGTAATTGAAGGCATTGTTAGTGAGCATGTGTCACTTTTATGGTCTTATGTGTGAATTTCAAGAGAGTGATTAGTGGAGTGCCCTTAATTTAATGTATGATGTAATGCATTGCATGTAGCCAGTTGTACCCTTTTCAGAGAGACCTATGACACTGCCATGGCATCCCACTGCTTCGGTCACATGGCTGCTCATGAGTCATCCCTCGATAATCTTTAACCATTTTAATATTTTTCTTCATTACTAAATACTTGTATATTTTATACTACTATACTAGTATACTGTGGTAAGATATCACGTATACATTTTTTAATGAAAATTATTAAAACAGAAAATATATCAAAAGTCTTTGTCCTTTTACGTTGTCTTCCTTTTAAGAAATTGTGCTAAAAAATTGTAAGTGAAATTGTGGACTTTAAAAACGAACTGGGCACTTATAACGGCAGGCCTACCTTATAAAGTTAATATCAAATGTCAGATGATGATTGACATTAGTAAAATGGTATCAAATCTCTTATACTCTAACTCATTTTAAAAATGTAGCAAAAATAAAAAAAGAAACTAATTTTAAAAATAAAAAATACAATAAATAGAAGAAAAATATAAATGTTCGGGTACACTGAAAAAGTTCCATATCACGTAAGTGTTGATACCAAAATCAGTTTATAAGCACCACTTTTTTAATTTATCAAAACGTTTTTTTTTTTAAAAAAAAAAATTGTGATGGTCAAGTGAAAATCAAAGCAGGCAATACAAAAATTAACGACTAACAAAATTATAAGAACAAACTCAAAATATAAGAAAATAAATATCAAGAAAGTTTAAAATTAAAATGAAGGAGAAAATTTAAATATTGTAGAGAATTGAAAATCGGTTAACAAGGTCACCTAACTTGTTAGTATTTTAATTTTAATTTTTACTATAAGATTTATTAGTATTTTTAAATATTTTTAAATTATATCATATAATATTCTAGTTTACACATTTTACAAGTAAAATATATATAATAATATTCCTTTGTCGTAAGAAAAGAAAAAAAAAACCCTCGAAAATATAATTTTAATTTTTTATTTATATTTTTGATAATATTTTAAAAAAAAAAATTATAAAATTATCTTTAAACATCCAGGGTTGCTAACGGAGACGTGATATATAATATAAGCGGCACCGACAGGCGACAGTTGCCAGCGCACGTTGCTAACGTGCACCTGATTCCTTTCTTTCATTTTTCCCGAACTCACTCTGTCTGCTGCAACTTCCTTCACCTGATCCAACCTCCGCCACTCTCACTTCCCAATGGTAGGGTTCCGATGAGTGTGGAGTGCCCAATCGGCATCCAATGAGACGGCGCCCCGTGGCGGCCCTTCTCCCCGACCAAATGGAGAAAACCACCACCAAAAACCCTAACTCCAGACTCTGCTTCCTCGCTTCCCTCTCCGCATTCTTCTGGTTCCTCCTCCTCTACTTCCACTTCACCGTTCTCCGCACCCAACCCAGCGCACCCCTCCCCGTCACTTTCCAACGACCAAAGCCCCAATTCCCCTTCGCCGCCAACGCCTCCGACCCCTGCGGCGGCCGTTACATCTACGTCCACAACCTCCCCCCGCGCTTCAACCACGACATGCTCAAGCACTGCAAGACCCTCTCCCTCTGGACCAACATGTGCAAGTTCACCACCAACGCCGGCCTCGGCCCCCCGCTCGACAACACCCACTCCGTCTTCTCCGACACCGGCTGGTACGCCACCAACCAGTTCGCCGTCGACGTCATCTTCGCCAACCGCATGAACCAGTACCAATGCCTCACCAACGACTCCTCCCTCGCCGCCGCCGTCTTCGTCCCCTTCTACGCCGGCTTCGACATCGCCCGCTACCTCTGGGGCTACAACATCTCCACGCGCGACGCCGCCTCCCTGGACCTCGTCGACTGGCTCACCAAGCAGCCCCAGTGGGGAGTCATGAACGGCAGAGATCACTTCCTCGTGGCCGGGAGAATCACCTGGGACTTCCGCAGGCTCACGGATCAAGAATCCGATTGGGGTAACAAGCTTTTGTTTTTGCCCGCTGCTAAGAACATGTCCATGCTTGTTGTTGAGTCTAGTCCCTGGAACGCTAATGATTTTGGGATTCCCTATCCCACTTATTTCCACCCTGCAAAAGATGATGACGTCTTCATCTGGCAGGAGAGGATGCGGAGGTTGGAGAGGAAGTGGCTCTTCTCCTTCGCCGGCGCGCCGCGCCCGGGTAACGCTAAGTCGATTAGGGGTCACATTATTGAGCAGTGTAGCAGATCCAATGTGGGGAAGTTGTTGGAGTGTGATTTTGGGGAGAGTAAGTGTCATTCCCCGAGTAGCATAATGCAGATGTTTCAGGGCTCCCTTTTCTGCCTTCAACCGCAGGGGGATTCCTATACGAGGAGATCTGCTTTTGATTCAATGCTGGCTGGTTGTATACCTGTGTTTTTCCACCCCGGTTCGGCTTATACACAATACACATGGCACCTTCCTAAGGATTATACCAAATACTCGGTTTTCATTCCGGAGGACGATATTCGGAAGAGGAATGTTAGTATAGAGGAGAGGCTTAGGCGGATTCCTGAGGAGGAGGTTAGGATTATGAGGGAGGAGGTTATTAGTTTGATTCCTAGGTTGGTGTATGCGGATCCGCGATCCAAGCTGGAGACGCTTAAGGATGCGTTTGATGTTTCTGTGCAGGCGGTGATTGATAAGGTTACCAATTTGAGGAAGGATATCATGGAGGGTCGGACGGATGAGAACTTCATTGAGGAGAATAGTTGGAAGTATGCGTTGTTGGATGAGGGACAGCGTGAGGTTGGGCCTCATGAGTGGGATCCTTTCTTTTCCAAGCCCAAGGATGGCAATGGGGATTCTGGTGATCTGTCGGCCGAGGCTGCGAAGAATTCTTGGAAAAATGAGCAGAGGGATCAGTCGTGATTTGTCAAGTGGAGGGAAAGATTGCATCTGTAGGGTTCTTAGATGTGATGTGGTTTAATGCTGATTGCTGACTCAAATGGTTTCCCTGAATTGGGGAAGAATTGCAGCTGTAAAATAATTGCTGGGTTCTTGCTATCAACTTACCGAATTCAAGTTTCCATAATGAGCAGGATTCCTAATTGAAAACCCCCAGCATGGAGAGGTGTTCTCTGCTTTCTACAGTTTTGTTATATAGATTTTTTTTCTTCTTCTGATTTCTGCCTTATGTATTTCCATTAGTGGTTCCTAGATGTATCTTCATAAGTTTAATAATTTCTTTGATACTACATATATTTTTCCACTTAATTCATATAGGAAATATGAACAAATTTATGGTTAGCAGTGACGTGAAGTGTTCATTTGAATGGTAATATCAATTGGCAGCTGCGTCATCATGGCATTGTGGGTATCTTTATTGAATCATGGTTGACATTCAAAAGATAGATTGCTCTATTTTGATGATGGTGAAAATAAATGTCTATTTTTCACTTGTTGGTCTATTTTTTGATAATCTCACATCCATATTGGGTGACGTCAATTTTACTGTTTCAAGCTATCTACGGAATTGGTTGCCTTGCATCTAGTTTTAGCATTCAACAAGCGGAAACTATTGGCTGTTTCTTCTGGTTTGTATAATTCACGTTTCTCTGGGAATTTTCTGATTTCCTTTGTTGTGTTATCTATTTAGCTAGCAGTATTGGACGAATGGAGTGTACTAAAAAGAGGTTGGCATAGATTTCTCGCCGGAATTATTTAGGACTTCATTTCTTTCTTTGGATATGAATGAAATAATTCCATTGATGTTGAGATTGATCATATTTCTCTTTGAGGCAGTTCCAGGAGATACTTTACAAGTAAATCTTTGACAGTTTTTTGGACTGACTGGGGGTGGGATATCATACTGTGATGGATTTGGTTGAATGGCGACGCCGAGCGTTTGCCAGTGTTATTATTCATTTTGTCCTATCTTGTTAAGTTCAGAAAACACTTCTCATTTGTCCGTATCTGAGTATCCTTTTCCCTTTGTCGTCTTCGTCCTGTCTTGCAATGAGAATAGGTATGGCTGTGCAGTGTGACAAAAATTGATAAAGAACTTGTGCGGAAAGTGATTATGAAAGGGTGCGCAACTATAATGCAATCAAAAACATAATCGATCATTCATAACATTGTTTGCTTTGGCTCTTTAACCTTGATGCAATGATATACTATAATACTAATTCCATTTATTTGTTCGTTTGTATTCTCACAAGAGTCGGGAGCTGACACAAAATGATGGAGTTATTTTATGATATTTGTCTGAGAGAATATTTTATAAGAGTTATTTTTTATCAGAGGAGCATAATCTAATTTTATTCAGGAGTCTCTATTTATAGAGAAAAATTGTTATACAAAATTAAATATTGATATTATCTTATTCTAAAATTAAGAAAACAAATCCTAAAATAATCAAAACAGATAAAATTTAAATATTTGAAATATAAATAAAATATTTTTGTCAAAATCTAATTTATTCTTTTAAAGATATTTAGGCATATTTTTAACACTTTTCATTGACTGAATATCTTTATTACCTAATTTAAATTTGAATTTCAAAATTTGCCTTTCCTTTTTTTTTTATTAGTTTCTTTTTTTTGTGTTTTTTGTTGTAATCTTTCTTGAGTAGGATCACGTTAGCATCTGTCTTGAACTTCTCTTTTGAAGGTGGTTTTTCATCATCTTCATTCTCTTCTTGATCATCAAACTTCTTTTGAAGACATGCATCTTTGTGCTCTTCACTTGTATCTTCATTTATAATTGGTTCCTCTTTCTCCAAATTTAAAGCAAAACTTTTGTCTTTTATATGAACATTGAACACTTCTTTGTTGTGTATATCTTTAATCACACAACTTTTATCTTCAAATAACACTTTATAGCTTTTTCCTAATAATTGAGAAACACTCAACAAATTTTGGTTAATATCAGGAACATATAAAACATTAGATATTAATTTCAAACCTGAATGACTTTTAATAACCACTGTTTCTTTGCCTTTTACTGTAAGGTGTGCTCCATTCCCTGTTTGGACTCTAGAGATATTAGTTTTGTTGAGTTCTCGATCATAAGTCATATGATTTGTACAACCACTATCAATAATTCAAGCTTTTGAGGGTTTTTTGGTTATAAAACATGACATTGAAAGTAGTTGTTCTTCTTCCTCTTCTTATTGATCTTCAACAATGTTGGCTTCTTCTTGTTGCTCATGAGATTTGCAAACATATTTTAGGTGTCCTAATTTTTCGCACTTGTCACATTTTACATCAAGTTTGCACCAACATCTCTGTTGTGGATGATTAGTCTTTTTGCAATAAGGACATGGTGGAAAAATTTGAGTGTTATTATATTGACTGTTCTCTTGAAACAATTTCTTCTTCTTGTTTTTGCCAGTATTTTTGTTCTTCCATTTGGCTAAATATACACCCTCCATAGATCCTCCTTCTCTCATAAGCCTCCTTTGTTCTAATGCTTGCAATGCATGTAACACCTCTGCCAAAGTGATCTTACTCAGATCCTTTGTGTTCTCCAAAGCCACTATTGAAGCTTCATATCTTTCAGGTATAGTTACTAGAATTTTTTCAACAATTCTAGAATCAAGAAATTGCGTTCCTAGTAATCGTACCTTATTAGCAATGCCAAGAAATTTGTCTGAGTATTGTTTGATTGTCTTAGTCTCCTTCATTCTTTGTATTTCAAATTCTCTCATTAAGTTTAATACTTGCATGCTTCAAATCCTTTCATCTCCAGTATATTCTTCCTTTAGATAATCCCAAATTGCTTTTGCCGATTTGAGAGTCATAATCCTGGTGAAAACATTTTGTGAAACACAGGCAAAGAGACAACTTTTTGTCTTTGCCTTCTTGATTTTCTTTTCTTTATGAATTTTTATTTGGGTTACGATAGGATTGTCTGGCAACACGAAAACATCATAATCTTCTTCTACGGCTTCCAAGAGATCTAAACTTTCTAGGTATGCCTCCATTCTCACCGCCCAAAGATCATAACTTTATCCATCAAAAATAGGTGGGGAGATTTGTGAAAAGTTTGTTTCTGCTTTCATCTCCAAGATCGTAACCTTAGCTCTGATATCAACGATGAGGTTATCTTATGATATTTGTCTGAGGGGATATTTTATAAGAGTTATTTTTTATCAGAAGAACACAATCTAATTTTATTCATGAGTCTCTATTTATAGAAAAAATTTGTTATACAAAATTAAATATTAATATTATTCTATTCTAAAAATAAGGAAACAAATCATAAAATAATCAAAACAGATTAAATCTAAATATTTGAAATATAAATAAAATATTCTTATCAAAATCTAATTTATTCTTCTAAAGATATTTAGGCATATTCCCAACACAAAACTATTAAGCTTTTTGTTGTGTTAAAATTTTCTGATCAAGGAAACTAGAGAGGAAGGAAGAGTTGTCGTCTCGAGTATTATCTCGTTCATGTTACTAAATGGCAACTGTATCTCTTACTGGAAAGGGGATTCTTGTGCGTAGCTTATATGGAAACTGTAAAGCTTTCTGTCTCCTAAGGTCATTTTGTTGGTCAGATTATACACGCACAAATTTTTTAAAGTAAAGAAATTATTGAATTGAAAAATAAATGGTATATTTAATGTCTTGAATGCTTTTTTTGAAATTATTCTTAGGAGAAATGAAGAACCGTTGGGAATTAAATTGACGGATGTAACCTGACACTGAAAACAACGAGTATAATATTTTTGTTGCATTATTAGTTAGTGTTTTCTTAGGACCCACAAGAAGGCTGGATACAGATGGAGATGCAGGTCTAGACAGACTTGAATGAAAGAATCATCACTCGCTCGCTCATGTAATCCATAAGGTCTGACGCCTATCTCTCTTAATTGCAAATGCCATTTTTTAAATTAAAACTTGATCACAAAAATGTAAAGTTATTAATCTAACTCTTTTTCCTTTTAAAGCACCTAATAAGAATAAACTCAACAAAGTCAATCTCTAACTCAAGTCTCTTGAACAAAAGCAATGCTATTCATGTCAAAACCACATTTTACCCATGAAACTTATTTACGAGCAATTAGGAAGAGAAATTATTATTTAGGTAAATGATAATGCAACAATTACTTCGTGCTGCAATGTACATTTATCCAAAAGTTGTCTCAACGATCAATTATAGTACGACGAATGCAATGATATATCCTTTTTCAAAATTTATTTATAAACTCTATGATCAACTACTAATAGGGTTTTTTTAGGTAAATGATATAATTATGTGCTTATTAAATAAATATTTAGCACATAAATATTTATGTACATGTTGTTTCTATAATTGAAGAGGAATAAGATTAAAATATTTTCATATAATTATAAGTTGTTTTTATACGTTATTGCGAAAAGTTTCTTAAAAACAACTTATAGACATATCATTTCATAAGTTTTCACAAATACTTACATAAATACTTATGTCTTAAGATAAGATCAAATAAACTGCAAATAAATTTTTCTACATTATCCATAAGACAATAAAAAATGTAGTAGTGGTTTCTTAAACTTTTTTTTTTTTAATTTAAAAAATAAGTTGACATATCTGCCAAGGATTCTTATGATTTGTCTAACCTAAAATAAGGTGAAAAATAAAGTGTGTATTTGAATTTATGGTAAGCATGCCAAAATGATGTCATCACCATGAAAAATAAGAAATAACCCACCGCAGTTCTAAACATGCTAAAATTCTGTTATAACTTTCTATTACATCAGGCAACAACTTCACTAATTTTTGGCTAAAGAACAGAAAAAGCAACGTTAAAGAAAGAATAGCATGCAATGATGTACATACTTCCAACACGAGGGAGCCAAATATAACAAAATCCAGAGCCTACACGTTAAATAAATGAATGCAACAACATATGGTCCAATGGTAACTTGCACGATTCATCATCCTATTTTATGAATGTAATTAGCAAACGAAAGCAATATTATTTGTACACTCAATTTTTTATGATTCTCTTTCACACTACTTTATATGAGAAAAGGAGAGAAAAAAGGAGAATTTGAGTTTTTGTTTCTCCCCTTTCACTATGAAAGCGTAAACAAATAAACAAGAGTGTTATTTTGGTAGCAGTGGATGTGAACGACAAAACAAAGTTAGAATTGGGAAACATAGAATTCACCGAATTTGAAACTAACGGCTACTTAGTTTACTATTAAAGCTAAGCAAAACATCTCGTGATACTTACAGCGAGCTCCTCGGCTCCTCAATTCTCACTCAGTTTCTGTTTCTCAGTTCTCTCTCTCTCTCTCTCTCTCTCAACAAAGGATCCTCGTGATGAAGAGCTCTCATATTTCACGAGCTTCGTATTCCTCACTTACAAACCAAAAACGCTTACTTTTGAATTCTTCCCAACACCTTCAAATACCCCTCAAATCCTTCACCAGATCATGCATCACCCCACTTCACCAAC